GAAGCTCTGGCCATAGTGGCCATTCTTTGTTTTGTTTTTTGAGTTGGAGTCTCACTCTGTCACCCAGACTGGAGTGCCGTGGCCGCTCCCGGCCACCGCAGCCTCAACCTGCTGGGCTCCAGCGATCCTTCCGCCTCAGCCTTCCGAGTAGCTGGAATTACAGGCGCGCGCTACCACACCCAGCTAATTTTTTGATTTATTGTAGAGATGAGGTTTCGCTGCCCAGATGGGTCTCGAACCCGCAGGCTCAGGCAATCCGCTCACCTCGGCCTCCCAAAGCGCTGGGATTACAGACTGAGCCACTGAACCCGGCAAGTGGCCATTCTTTGTTATCTGGGATCTGTTAGTTTCTTTGACGAGGTTCTACCTCTTCAACTCGGCACGATGCATCTTGGTCCTGCAGCACCCACCTGAGCCCAGACGACCCTGCCCACCACACACACACCTCTTGGCATACGTGGGCCTCCTCCTGTCCAGCTCCCTCCTGCTGTCCTCTTTGCACTGCCTGCTCTTGGCCAACCCCGCCCCACCCCCACCGGACCTTCCCATGTGTCGGCCTGGGTGGCTCCGGTTTGTGCCACCCCACGCGTGTGCCCGTGCCAGCCATGTCTTTTCCTGTGTGTCTCTTGGTCACATGCACCCCCCCTCACCCAGCCATGTCGTCAGCCAGGGCTGGAGGCCCAGACTGTCCTGGTGATGTTCCTTTCGGCAGACCTAGCTGAGAACAGGCTCTGACATACGGTTTGCTTGGGAACGTGCTGTGGATCGAATGTTTATGTTTCCTTCCTGCCAAGTGAGGACACACCAGGAGACAGCCGTCCATAAACTAGGAAGCACCCCTCACCAGACACCGAATCTGCTGGCACCTTGATCTTGGACTTTCTGGTTCCCAGAACTGTAAGAAATAAATATTTGCAGTTGGCCGGGCTTGGTGGCTCAGCCTGTAATCCCAGCACTCTGGGAGGCCAAGGTGAGTGGATTGCCTGAGCCCGCGGGTTCGAGACCCGCCTGGGCAACTTGGCAAGACCTCACCTCTACAATAAATAAAAAAAATCAGCC